ACCGAGCCCCGTCTACCCAGATGGTCATTAGGGCAGAGAACCGGTTGTTCAATTACTTGAATCCCACCACTGGCTCTGCCCCATGATATGAACCCCAACCTATCGGGCAGTTTATGTGTCAAAGAGTTGCATTCATCCAACATACTACAGGTAGTCCTCAGCTTACGACCACCATTGAGACCAACATTTCTGTTGCTCAGTGAGACAGCTGCTCAGTGAGTTTTGCCCTGTTTTGAGAACTTTCCCACCACGGTTGTTCAACATTACGACATGTCATCTATCCAACCATCTATCCATCATCCGTCCATCCATCCATCCATCCATCCATCATCCAATCATCCATCCATCCATCCATCTATTCATAATCCGTCAATAATCCATCCATCCATATATTATCCATCCATCTATCCAACCGTCCATCCATCCATCATCTGTCAATAATTCATCCATCCATCATAAGTTGAGGACTATCTGTATCTATCATCCATCCATCTATCATCCATCATCCATCCATCCATCCATCCATCCATCCATCATCAAATCATCTGTCCGTCCATCCATCCATCCATCCTCAATAATCCATCCATCCATTATCCATCCATCCATCATGCAGCCATCCATCCCTTTATCCATCATCCATCAATAATCCATCCATCCATCCATCAATCCATTCATCCATCCATCATCCATCCATTCATCTATCCATCCACCCATCTATCCATCATCCATCCATCCATCCGTCCATCCATCATCAAATCATCTGTCCATCCATCCATCCATCAATAATCCATCCATCCATCCATCATCCATCCACCCATCACCCACCCACCCATCCATCCAAGCATGTTCACCATAATTTCCAAAGTATGCAGACCTGGTGAACCGGACTTCACAGATGTTGCACATATACGGCTTCTCCCCCGTGTGGGTCCTCATGTGCCGCGGGAGCTTCCCAGCCCCCATGATGATTTTGTTGCAAATGGGGCACTGCTGGGAAGCTTTGGGTTTCATCTTCCTTTCTTCTGGCCAGCGTGGAAAGACTCGGCCAAAGTGGGCGTTGCTCAGGAAGTTCAGGTAGGCACTGTAATCGTTCTCAGCCTTGATGTGCCCGAAGGGGGCTGCGGCAGTGTTGGCAAACACGTCCTTGAAGAGGCTGTTGGGGAAGGGGGTGGGCAGTGGCTCCTCTTTCTCCTCTTCCTTGATCTTTTGCTTCTTGATCACCAGGTCCAAGGGGGTGTTGTCCACCTGCTGCTCTTCTACTGGGGCAAAGGGGCCGAAGTCTCCGTTCCATAAATGGGGGAAGAGCTCGGGCATAAAGGGAGACAGGACCGGCCTGCGTTCTGGAAGGGTGACTTTAGGATACAGGTTCTCCCTTAAGAGGGATTCAATGGAGAAGTCTCGGATGACACCAAGTGAGCCATTGGAGCTGCCAGATGGAAAACGAGTGGAGAAGACATCCGTGGTCTCTTGGAAGGGCTCCTCAGGAAGGTCTGGCTTAGAAGGACTTTGATGACAACTGAGATCTTGAGTATCCGGTAGATTCCGATTGGTGAAGTCACCTGCTTCTTCTTCCTCCTCCTCTTCCTCCTCTTCCTCCTCCTCTTCCTCTTCTTCCTCCTCCTCCTTCTCGCCTCCCACCGCTTCCCCAGGCTCTATTATTTCGAGGCAGACATTGATCACACACTGGATCTCCAGCATCTTGGCCGCGTTGAGGATGTGCTTGATGTTCGCCGTGGTAATGGTCAGCGTTGAGGTGTAGGCAAACTCAAGGATGGCCGAAAGCGCTTCGGGCTTGACGAAGTCGATCTCGTATATGTAGGGCTGGTCCGCTAAAGTGCCGGTCGTGAAGAGTTTCTTAAAATACTGGCTACAAGCAGCCAGCACAGATTTGTGGGTTCGGTATTCCTGATCTTGGACCAGGAGAATCACGTCGCAGAGGCGGCCATCGTTCCGCTGCTCGTTGAGCCCACAGAGGACTTCGCTGCTGTGGTTTGGGAAGGGGATCCCGATGAGGTCCTCAACGCCATTGGCCATATTCTCCTGAGGGACCCTAGAAAGAGGTACACAAACAGAGATTGAAGTCAAGTTCACTTACTTTACCGTGGTGGCGCAGTGGTTAAAATGCAGGCTAATTCTGCCGACTGTCAGCAGTTCGATCCTGATCGGCTCAAGGTTTACTCAGCTTTCCATCCTTCTGAGGTTGGTAAAATGAGGACCCAGATTGTTGGGGACAATATACTGACTCTGTAACCCGCTTAGAGAGGGCTGTAAACAAAAGCTTGTACACTGAAGACAGCATTTAATTTCGTTATGCTATGTGCGATGACAATAAGGTAAACTAACTCAACTAACTAACTAAATTAAAGGACTGTAAAGTGGCATATTGCTGTTATTTTTAGCCAGAAAAGCTACTGCTTAGCTAATGGAGGAAGGACTCCAACAACCTAAATAGAGAAGACATTATCCAACTCAAACAATCTAAGCCCCAGGCTCACTGTAACGGCATTGCAAAAAAAGCATTAAGAGCTGTTAACCTAATTTTGCAAAGCTTCTTCTCCGGTAACACTCTACTGCTAACTAGGTCATACAAAACCTTTGCCAAACCAATTCTCGAATACAGCTCGTCTGCCTGGAATCCACACTGTATATCGGACATTAATACAATTGAGGCGGTCCAGAGGTATTTCACGAGAAGAGTCCTCCACTCCTCTGCTCACAAGATAGAATCCCTTATGCCACCAGGCTTGAAATTTTGGGTTTGGACATCCTTGAACTATGCCACCTATGGTCTAAGCTACACAAAATTGTCTGCTACAACGTCCTACCTGACAACAATTACTTCAGCTTCAACCGCAATACACGGGCAAACAATTGATACAAACTCAAGGTAAATCACTCCAAACTCGATTGCAGAAAATACGACTTCAGCAACCGAGTGGTCAACGCCTGGAATGCTCTACCTGACTTGGTTGTTACATCCTCAAACTCCCAGAGTCTCAACTTCAAACTGTCTACCGTGGACCTCACTCCATTCCTAAGAGGTCCGTAAAGGGGTCATGCATAAGCGCACCGGCGTGCCTAACGTCCCTGTACCACTGTCCCCATTTATTCATACCCACTTCACGCGTTCATGTCCATGTCCATACTTATACCTGTTCTCTCGTAGATGTTTGACAAACTAACTAACTAAATAAAATAAATTAAACTCATTCCTCACATCAATCAGCGCATTTAGCACATTCATGACTGTGATTCCTGGATTCCCTCCAGCCGTTGATATGAAATCATCGTATTTGAGACGAGGGAAGGGGAACCTTAAGAAATGCACGAATAATCGGTTCCACCACAAAACCGCGTTCGACTAAAGCGCGCTCAACGAAATCGCGTAGCTGACGTCATCACAGCGCGACGAAAAAAGCACGCTGTGAATGCTAAAGCTAAAATTAACCCCTAAACCTAAACCTAACCCCCCTAAACCTAACCCTTAACCTAACGCTAACCCTAAACCTAACCCTAACCCTAAACCTAACCCTTAACCTAACGCTAA